ATAAGTAACATGTATGCATTTGATGTCTATTAAGACTGCAATTTATATACAGGTGATGATCTGGAAACAGTCATAAAGAAACTGGATCTTAGTCAAGTTTTGAGAAATATGGCAGATAAAAGTAAAACTAGTGTAGATACTTTGACTAAAATGCAGCTAGTGGCTGCCTGCCAAAAGTATGGTCTCCGCACTAAAGGAAACAAAGATGCACTTAGGGTTATTCTGAAAGAATACCTACATGAAAACAAAATTCCTTTCCAGGTATAGAGTAAAAATTTTCATACTAGTGCTTATAGTTTGTACAATTTTGTTCAAAGTGTTCCAAGGAAATACCAGTAATGAGTGCACTTCACCAGTGCAATGTACAAATGTATGTGATGCACTTTTATTTATAATTATATATTTCTGTAAGGTGTCGTCCATTCAGACCTTTGAAGTCAAGTCTCTCGATGTCAACAACAGTCTGTATGGAGAGATTTTGAAGTCCTGTCTGATGCTCTGAAAGCAGACCCTAGTAATCAATCAATAATCTAAATAATATTTAGAGCCTGACAGCTTTAAATTGAATGCTCTCAAATGGGTCAAAGCATTTAGGACAGCTACTTTTGATGAAGTAAGTATTCTTTTGTAACTCCTATTGTAACTGAGTGAAGTTTGAAAGTTCCAGGTCTTCCCAATATCCACATCAGTTTTGTAGACATGCAGGCATGACATGACATGTAGGAGATGCGAGGSAGTCACTGACTCAGATGGTTGTATCGCTGACCAGCACTCAAACAATTGAGCCAACCTACAGCTGTAGTTGTGCTTGCAGTGAATGCCAAGTAGTAATTACTGAAAGGAAATAACATAAATTAATTATAGAATGTATGACTCATTTTATGAGAACATTTCTGACTTAATAATTTCAATTTATTTTTAGGATGTGATCCCATACATCCATGGTAAGTATACATACATATATTTAAGCAGGACAAGTAGAGGAGTTTCAATTTAAGTGGAATAGTATTGTTTCAATCCTTGTCATTAGGGATATAATAAATTTTATATTTTTAGTATTGGTATATCACATCCCACAATTCTTGGAGAAATATCAAACTCTTCATCACTTCAACTGTCAGACTGTTGAGAAGGTATTGATAACAACCATAATCATTCTACTGCTGCACATGATACAGGATTTGCAACCTAGCCATTCTTAATAAAAGGAAATGAAATTAAAGTGCAATTCTTATTTGACAGTTACGTTTTCCATTTTAATACAGAAAAACCACCTACAGAACAGAGCCTTTCACAGAGGCAGTCAAAAAGGAGGGAGGAGCTCTAATTACACAGTCCAAGTAAAGATTTTTGAATATTYAATATATAATTATTAAAGAATTTAATATTTGATTAATGATTTTCTTTAATGAATGTACTTCTGAATTGCATTTCCCAACAGATCATGGAAAAGGAAAACAGAAAATTGTTTGCTAGGCTTGAAAATTTAGAGAGGATAAAAAGAAAATACACGTCAAGAAAAGCAAATAACTAAAGAATGATTGTTAAATTGTTATACATTTATATTTTATCTATTTATGTATGCATTTGTATGTATGTATTATATTATTTATTTTGCTGTAAATACAATTGAATGAGTACTATCAAATGCAGGGAAAGAAAATAAATAAAAGATGACTGAACTGATGTACATTCTACCATTAAACATTTCATGATAGTTARTAACTTTATTTCATTTAATATCATTTTATGGTCAATTGATTTCTTGATTTGTTTTGTGATGAAATAATAGAATATTCTTCTAAAAATCAAACGGGAAGTAAATCAGTCTATGAACTTGTTTTCTATTTYATAACAGGTTTATGCTTCGAGTTTTTTAGATATTATTATGGTAACAGTGACAATCTGTTTACAGAATTGATTACTAGGACATTTTCCTTACCTGTCCTTGATTTATTATCATATTTCTTCTCCTCTTGGAGAAGCTGATTGTCAGTTCGGCTATTGGCGGGAGGTACTGCCTGGTTGGTTGACATACACTGGGTCTTTCATCTTCATCTCCAGTGTYTGTACAGCGGGGGCACAACCTGTGGTTATAAAAGTTCCGCAACTCGTATCCCCACGATACATACACCTTCGAAGAAGGGTCTACCTCGCAGACGGTTGAAGTATCCTCGAATTGCCGCGCTATCTAAGCAGCCCCAAACACTGAGGCAATCTCAGCAGCAGTGCACGCAAACTTGACATTTCTGTTACCAGAAAAGTCAAGTTTGCGCTCTTCGGCGAAAAGAAAAGTACCTTTTTCAAAAGCATCCGTGAACGCTTCTTTTGAAAAAGGAACTTTAACTTGTACTCTCCMAGAGTGACCAGTGTCACCCTCGGGAGTACGTCTGAACTGTAGCTCGTCAAACATAGCTAATTTGACGATCCACAGTTCCCGGTCCTCATCATTGATGACCGGCAACCTTTCGCTCGCAATCGAACTGCTGCTGGGATTGCCAGCATTGTCTGCTAAATAGCAGGACAATTCGGGGTTGTCTGCGAGGCAGACCCACGTGTTGTCCTTCTCTTCGTACCCTTTCCATTTTACGAGTGCTTGGCCGTCCCTCTCCTCTAAGATATCCTCGATTTCCCAAAGCTCGTTTCTCGGTCTCTGATTTCTTTGTCGTCGATCTGTCAGTTCGATCGTTTCTAAGTCATAATCTTGTAGTTTTCCTGGCCTTTTCACTATTCTGTTTGATCGACTCGCCGCCATCTTGGATGCATAACAACATCAGGGTAAA